TTTTAAAAACTCTTTAATCGTTCCTATACTTTAATAATTGAGACATTAGACCCAATAACTAATAAATATTTCTCTTAGACGTCACACGTTAGCAACAAAATTTTCAAACTTTTGTCAATGGGTCGTACACCTCATTCACCATAATTTTTATTAGTTTATTTTAGTAAAATAAAATATATACTTTTCGTTTATTTTATAAATTACTGCATTTAGTTATGTTGTGGTCCTTATCCTTCATGTGGGGGAAAATGATGGAAACATCTTCTTATTTAAATGTATGAGGTGTCGACCAGCTCTCCAGTCTTATGTTGTCACAAGAATGATTGAGGCTTATTAATCTATAACATTCATAATTTGATGATGTAAGTTTGCGATATTACCAATACCGTTAGCTCAAAATATTTTCCTGGTATTTTAAGTATTTTTGCTCGATAGTTTAGCATTTTAACATAAATCAATTTTTACTTTTTAACTAGGTGTTTTGCCCGCACATACGGGCATAATTTTTTTACGAATACTTTTTAGTTTATATTTTATTAATTTAAAACAATTTAATAAGTGTGATTTATGTTTTAAATATTAATTATAAATGACAACCTTTACACATCAGAATTTCTAAAATATATTCATACAAATGTTTTGCTTGATTTATATTAATTATAATTTTTTTATATCTTAACCTTTTGTTTCTATAATAGATAAATATTTTCAAGATAACAATATAATACATCAGAAGTACTCCATCTGTTTTTTTAATATATGGTATTTTAGGTTAATGCACACAAATTAAGAAATTTACATACTTTCAAAGATATAATTTATAATCATTCAACTAATTATAAAAAGACGGTAAAATTTTATTGGTTGAACATTTTCTAATAAAATTAAACTTCACCTTAAAATTTCAAAACATCTTATATTTTGAAACAAACCTTAAAACCTCAAAACAAACCTTAAAACCTCAAAAAAAAACTTAAAATCTAAACATCATATAATTTGAAAGGGAGAGAGTATCTTATTTTCTAAAAAGATAATATTATTAATAGAAATTTTCTAATAGAAAAATATATTTTTAATATAACAATCTAATACATAAGAACTAACTTATTTTCTAAAAAAGAAAATTAATATAAGTTCATTTTTTGTTGTATAATAAGTTATATATAAAATTATTAAAACATGAAAAATAAATAAAATTATTTAAAATTATGGAGAAATTGACAACTAAACAAATTTATTCAGAAAAGTTACAAACCAATCAGAAAGTTTATGTAAATGTTATGATAGAAAAATATATTTTAAGATAACAATCTAATACATAAAATTAACTTATTTTGTAAATCAAAAAATACTTAAAATTATGAAAAATTGACAACTAAGCAAAATTACCTAAAATTATGGAGAGATTGACAACTAAGCAAATTTACTTCTTAAATAATAGTATAGATATAAATTAACTCAAAGAATACGGATCATTTTTTTCTTTCTTCAAAAGGTTTACGTTTTAATCTTTTTTTTTCGACAGGTTTACGTCTTGATCTTAAAGGTTGTATTTCGTTTATAAAATTCCAAGTTAATATATTGTATATTACATTAGTAAAAGATAAAATTGAACATATATAGTCGAACTAAAACCATAACAAATAACAAACATAGTGTTAAAGAAGAAAAAATATTTTTTTCAAAAAAAAAAAGAAGAAAAAATAACTAACCTAAATAAGACTATGTTTGATAATAATTACTATTTCTGATAGACAAAAAAACATGCAAAGTATCAACACCAACTTTGCTACGTTTAACTTAATATTAATTAAAATGATATATATATATATATATAAATAATAGACGTTTATATTAATTGTGACACAAATTTAGCATATCCATAACATGTCATCTATAGTAGACTATGTTTTATTTTAATTATTACTACTGTTTTATAAAACAAAGGTTCTGCAAATCAAAAAATTACAAGACATAAACCGAGCCTAAATTGGATTTAAACACCCCTGATAAATTTTAATCATGAAATGAATTTCTACTTTATTTTGTATTAAACATTAAATAACATTATATCATCGATGCATAGCTCAAAAGAACCATCTAAACTATTAAAGGGGAAGTACAACTAGTATATATTCCTTAGTTTTTCAAAAAATTACAACTTTATGCCATTGAAGTTAAAACACAGTAGTTTTGAGTCTAATTATTATTTTGTTGGGCTGCTGTAAGTTTGTTTTTGTTAGCCCATAAAGAAGAATTTCGTTGGCCTGTTAAATAATATAATTATAGACAAATGCATAGTTTATACGTATTACATGTATACTTATAGATATTAGTATTCAAATAAAATAAAAATCAAGTTTAAACACATGATAAAGTTTTAAAATCTATTTTCTTTATTTTTAGATTTCATATAAAAATATATAATAGATAATTTAAATCATTTTTATAACAATTTGGAGTTACGGTATACAATTCAATATACAATAACATTAAAATTAATAAGTGTTTAAATATAATATAAATTTTAAATTTAAAAAAAATTCAGATTGACTTACATATTGGATACCTATCTGTTCAAACAGTAACTTCGACTTTTAACACTCATACAATAAGAGAAATATATAACAGCTCACAAATATATATATATATATATATATATATATATATATATATATATATATATAACACAATACAAAAACATGAAAGTAATTTATGCTATGAATTATAAACTAAAATCTAACAAATGAACCCATTATATGAAATTGTTATATAAAATCATTAAGTTTTTGTGTGTTTTAAATGTTTATATAATTATAAAATAAAATAAAAATTCAAAATACAATAACATTAAAATTAATGAGTGTTAAAATATAATATAAAATTGAATTTAAATTTTCAATTAAAAAATCAGATTGACTTACATATTGGATATCCATCTGTTCACACGGTAGCTTCGACTTTTAAAACTCATACAATAAGAGAAATATATAACAACTCACAAATATATATATAACAGAATACAGAAACATGAAAGTAATTTATGCTATGAATTATAAACTAAAATCTAACAAATAAACCCATTATATGAAACTGTTATATAAAATCATTAAGTTTTTATGTGTTTTAAATGTTTACGTAACTATAAAAAATATCCGCGCGGGCGCGTGGATCAAGATCTAGTATAGTTTAAATTCCATGACAAAATACTAGCTAGGCTAGTCCAGGACCGGGCTTAATAAAGGTTTGGTGATGCAGAATCAGTTCATCACGACATCACTAAGTTAAAAAGGTTTGATAGCTAACATACAAGGGTAGCGATTGAAGTCGAAGCGCTTATCATATACCATTATAAATAAAAATGATTTTTGAATATAAAAGAACAAGTTGCTATAATGGTAGCTGAAGAAATTATTTTCTCTTTGAACATTGATAGTGTTATAGTAGAAAGCAATCTAAGTAAAGAACATGATGGGTCCATAACTATGTACCATGATAATCTTTCTAGAAGCTTTTTAATCTTAAAACGAATTTTAATTATTTTCTTTTAGCTATATATAGAAGTATTTGTTTGAAGAGATATAGTTCATAAACATTTTCGAGTTGGATCATTTCGTAAACATCTTTGAGTTTTGACACTTGATACGCTAGATCTTCTAGATTTACACCGCTCGTTCCAAATTTTACATTCGAAACATATATATGCATGTAAATTGGAGTGCTTAATTTTTCTTGAATTATTGTTGTGCATACTTGTTGAAGTTTGTTGTTGTCCATACGTGTACAGTCCTTGTCAGAATAGCTTTATAAATATTGTTTTATAGCAACAATGATCCTAGTTTCTTACGTCATTAAAGATTTTGTCTTTGATGCTTATCTAACACCATCCGCCCAAATTCTACTTCGAGATTTAGAGCGAAAGCTGCATGAAAAGCATTCTAATTATAATTTATCAAATGAAAATTAAAACCCCAACTAAGATCATAAAATAATTAAAATCTAGAATTCTGATCCATCTCTAAGTTTTGTGATTCAGGGAAACTGCAATCTCCAAATATATATAAAAATTAAATGTTATTTACTAATTCAAATCTTAAGAAAACAAGGTGGAATCGGTTTAACCAATTCAAGAAAGCCCTAGCATTGCCATAAATGTTGATATGTATGGCCGAAAGGCCACATGGATACAAGGTGAGTCATCGATACTTTATTGTATGAAGGGAATTTTCTGATTTTCCTATTGCCCGAATTAGTATACACTTCATTATGCCCATTATATGTCGAGCATATTTTCTAATTATCAATAAACTAATCAAGAATTACTCTTAAAGCATGTCTTTTCATTATTTTATTTAGCAGGTGTTGAGGTTTTACTGGTGCAGAAGTTATTTTCCAGTAATAAAGACAACCCACTAGTATTTTCTAATATATATTTCCCCCAAGAACTGAATCCAGAACAAAGTTATGCTTCTATGATGATGTCTTTTAAGTGTCCAAAGACAAAACATTGTTGTTCACGAATATTTTTTTAGTGATGACGAATAAATATATATGGTACGGATCTATGTATGGATTTGGTAATAGGGTACTTGTAAAATCTTAATTGGGTAAGAAAAATTATGAGCTGGTTCTCACCATGTGTCAACACTTGTTCGAAGAATAGAGGTTTACCAAGATTGTTTCCGTGATTGAGGAACTCAAGTTAAAATTTATATAATTAATAAGGCTAATGATAGACCATACATCACATATGCTACATGATTAACTATAGGGTCTTAAACTAAAGTAAATTAAACAAAATATATAGAATAAACTCCCATAAAAAGTAAGAAGTGACTGTTCTTAAGCATATATAGATTACACATAATATATATATACACGCATGTTCAACTACAAACATCAACATAGTAGAGAAAATTAAGCGCCCTCTTACGTGCACAAGTATACACATACGTTGTAGTATTGGTTTGTGTGTAAAAGAGTGTGAGAATTGAAGAGATATGCTTGACTGGGGAGCTGATCAAGTCCATCACCGAAACCATGATCTTTATCAACAACAGCAGCAACAACCAGGGTGTAGAAAGGGACCATGGACACCTGAAGAAGACAAACTTCTTGCTGAGTATGTTTCTTCGAATGGGGAAGGAAGATGGAGCGCTGTTGCTAAGTGTGCAGGTAAACTATTTTGTATATTTTCTTTTTATGTACATGTAACTCATCTAATCTTAATCGTTTATATCATAAGCTCGTATAACCATAAATAAAAGACAGGTGGGGAGATCATATAGATGGGGTATAGTTGACTTAATGAAGCTCTTGATAATACATTTTTCCTTTGTCGTTTTTAATGTATAAGCATACTCATTCTTTTCATGGGTAGCAGCAATAAGTCAATATCATGGTGGAATAAGCTTTTAGGGTTTTTTTCGAAAATCAAAAAGACGATCTTATGATTCCTTGTTTTATGGAGTTGACTTCGATTAGTTTGGGAACATTTTTAGATATATATTTCTTTTTATTCGAACATGTTGGTCGAGATAGTGTTAAAATAAGAAACATTCATATACTATATCTTATAATATAGATAAAGATCATCAAGTTGCATTAAATTGAACATATTCATGTTTTGTCAAACCCATTCTAAGTGTTCTTTTTAATAATTTTTGTTTGTCATGGAATTGTAAATTAGGATTAAATAGAAGTGGCAAAAGTTGTAGACTAAGGTGGGTGAACTACTTAAGGCCAGGGCTTAAGAGAGGACAAATCACTCCTCAAGAAGAAGGAATCATCCTAGAACTTCATTCCCTTTGGGGTAACAAGTAAGCTCCTTTCTTCTTTGAAAATGATAATTAAATTCAAGACGGTAAATGCAAACCTACATAGCTAGTACATACTAGTTATCTGACATCATGAATGATATACAATACTAGATTTACTTTTTCATAGTATGTATGATTCATTATTGCGTTGTTTGATCCTTTTATTGTTGTACATTTGGAGTTATAAGCTTACGTGCACTTTATATACGGAATCAAACACTTCATGGGCATGCATTTACATATTCTTTGATTAAAAAATATATATAGGTGGTCAACAATAGCAAGATATTTACCAGGGCGAACAGATAATGAAATCAAGAACTATTGGAGAACCCATTACAAGAAGAAAGAAAAATCTTTTTCGAAGCAAGAAAAAGTCAAAAGATCCCGAAAACCGCTTGATCTGAAACCCCAACCACAACAGCAATCTCAGCTTGTGTCTCAAGACCACACAAATCTCGAAAACGAGCAAAACACTTTCTCTTACCCGAGTCACCCAACTAGTGTCTTCAGTGACCAATTTCATATGCCTCAAAGTGTTGCAGCTACCTCAAGCGACCACTCCATGATGGATGAAGGTAACTTGTGGGGAAGCTTGTGGAGTCTAGACGATGATGATCCACACCGTTTTGCTAGTGGCTCTGAACCGATAACAACTGCTAATATTGTTGAGAAGTTTAACGGCGGTGGAACTGATGCTCCATTCTGTGGATCATGGGACTATAGTTATAATGGATCTAACACTGGAGGCTATTATTATTAATCGGTATGTGCGGAGATATAAAGAAAACTCTATCTTCGTACGTTCTAAAGAAAAATGAAAGATCTCGATTTGTATTTTTTTAAACTTCGAAGCAATGTGTCTTACTAAATAGATCAGAGTAGTGAAGCTAATAAACTGGTTTGTAAAAATTTATGGAATCAAGTCTCCGGATATTGTCGTTTTATACTTTGACTCCAATTATTCTTATAGGCTTTTAGTTAGTAAGCTTTGGAGTCTATCTTAACTCAAAGGGCGGTGAGTGTAGAGAAGTATGACAGGATAACTGGCACATTTCGAGGCTCTATAGGATGAAGATTTAGCTTCAAGAATAACCTTATTTTTCAAATAAATTTAGGTATTAATCAGTTTTTGAGTTATCAATTAGGTTTCAGTCTCTTAGACTTAAAGATAGTGAATCAATTTAAGCTATACTATTAAAGATACGGTTCAATTTTCCCTGAAATGTTTTCGGTAGAGTTATGATATCAACGGGCTGGTTCGTTTTATATAAACCCATCTCATGGTGTAATTTTTTTATTTTTCAATCGCAATGAGCCGGCCTGTTAGGACCGAGGTCCATATATATTTATATACATTTCGGACTCTTAAATACAACGGTTTCATGAGCCAGTGCCGTGGGCTTAATATTTATGTTGAATTTTGTTAGTGAAGTTGGAAAGAGAATTGTATATAAATTATTTTATGTATTATTATTTATATACTGTCTTTTTACATATTATAAAACAAATAAATAAGAACACACACACATATATATATATATATATATATATATGTATTGTATAATTGAAATTAGTAAATATTATGTATATAATTAAATTAGCATGCTCACATAAATAACCAAATTATAGTATTGAAACTGTTTTTCTAAGTTGTAGGTTAATCTCTTTGAATTTTAAAAAAATTTAAAACTTGTATTCCTTGATAGTATACTTATGCATTGATCCATTAATCAAATTATAGTATTGATATTGTTTAACAATCGTTTTAAAAATGTTTCGTCATCTCCTGAATATAACGTTAAATCCACCAAATTTTTGAAGTTGTGGACTAACCTATATAAATTTTTGAAAAAAAAAAATTATATTCCTTGCTAGTATACTTATTTAAGACCCATTAACCAAATTATAGTGTTGAAACTACTTAACAATCATTTTGAAAATGTTTCGTCGTCTCCAGAAGATAACGTCAAAATCCACCAATTTTTTCGAGGTCGTGGGCGACCCCTATAATTTTTTGAAAATTCAAAACATGCATTATTTACTAATATACTTATTTACAGACTCATAAACGAAATTATAGTGTTGAAACCATTTAACAATCGTTTTAAAAATGTTTCGTCGTTTTTTAAAGATAACGTCAAAACCCACCAATTTTTTTTGAAAATTGCAAAACATATATTCATTGCTAGTATACTTATTTAAATACACATTAACCAAATTATAGTCTTGAAACTGCTTAACAGTCGTTTTAAAAATGTTTCGTCGTCTCCAGAGGATTACGTCAAAATCCACCAATTTTTCCGAGGTCGTGGGTGATCCCTTTAAATTTTTGAAAATTTCAAAGCATGTATTACTTGCTAATATACTTATTTACAGACCCATTAGCGAATTGTAGTGTTGAAACCGTTTGACAGCCGTTTTAAAAATGTTTTGTTGTCTTTTGAAGATAACGTCAAGATCCACCAAAATTTTCGAGGCCGTGGGCTAACCTCTATCAATTTTTGAAAATTTTAAAACATGTATTTATTGCTAGTATGTTTATTTAAAGATCTCTTAACCAAATTATAGTGTTGAAACTGCTTAACAATCATTTTGAAAATGTTTCGTCGTCTCCTAAGGATAACGTCAAAATACACATAGTTTTTCGAGGTTGTAAGCTAACCCCTATGAATTTTTGAAAATATCAAAACTCGTATTCCTTGATAGTATATTTATTTAAAAATCCATTAACCAAATTATAGTGTTGAAACTGTTTAACAATCGTTTTGAAAATGTTTTGTCGTCTTCTAAGAACAACGTCAAAATCCAGTAAATTTTCGAAGTCATGGGTTAACCCCTATGAATTTTTAAAAAATTAAAAAAATCGTATTCTTTTCTTATATAATTATATAAAGACCCATTAACCAAGTTATAGTGTTGAAACTTCTTAACAGTCGTTTTGAAAATGTTTCGTCATCTTCAGAGGATAAGTCAAAATCCACCAATTTTTTGTGATCGTGGGCTGACCCCTTTGAATTTTTGAAAATTTCAAAACATGTGTTCTTTACTAATATAGTTATTTACAGACCCATTAACGAAATTAGTATTGAAACAGTCTAGCAATAATTCTAAAAATGTTTCGTCGTCTTCTAAAGATAACGTCAAAATCCACCAAACTTTTCGAGGCCGTGGGTAACCGCTATGAATTTTTGAAAATTTTAAAACATGTATTCATTGCTAGTATATTTATTTAAAGACTCATTAACCAAATTATAGTGTTGAAATTGTTTAACAATTATTTTAAAAATGTTTCATCGTCTTCTGAGGATAACGTCAAAATCCACATAATTTTCAAGGTTGTAGGCTAACCTTTATGAATTTTTTGAAAATTTTAAAACTCGTATTCCTTGATAGTATACTTATTTAAAGATCTATTAACCAATTTATAGAGTTTAAACTGTTTAACAATTATTTTAAAAATGTTTTGTCGTCTCTTGTGGTTAATGTCAAAAAACCACCAAATTTTGAAGATCGTGGACTAACTTTGAAAAAATAAAAACATGTATTTCTTGCTAGTATACTTATTTAAAGACCCATTAACCAAATTATAGTGTAGAAACAATTTAACCATCGTTTTGAAAAAAAATTATCGTCTCCTCATTATGACGTCAAAATCCACCAAATTTTCAAGGATGTGGGCTAAGCCTTATAAATTTTTGAAAAATTTAAAAATCGTATTCAATTCTAGTATACTTATTTAACGATCCATTAACCAAATGATAGTGTTGAAACTGCTTAACAATCGTTTTTGAAAATGTTTCGTCGTCTTTTGAGGATAATGTGAAAATCCACCAAATTCTTCAAGGTCGTGGGCTAACCTTTATGAATTTTTCGAAAATTTTGAAACATATATTCCTTGCTAATAGACTTATTTAAAGATCCATTAACCAATTTATAGTATTGAAACTAATTAACAATCGTTTTGAAAATGTTTCATCGTCTTTTGAGGATAACGTAAAACTCTACCAAACTTTTTGGGGTCGTGGGGTAACCTCTATGAATTTTTGAAAATTTCAAAACATATATTCCTTTCTAGTATACTTATTTAAAGACTCATTAACCAAATTATAGTGCTGCAATTGCTTACCAATCGTTTTGCAAATGTTTTATCGTCTCCTAAGAATAACGTCAAAATCCATATAAATGTTTGAGGTTGTAGGCTAACCCCTATGAATTTTTAAAAATTTCAAAACTCGTATACTTTGCTAATATAATTATTTACACACCCATTAACAAAGTTATAGTGTTGAAACTATTTAACAACTGTTCTGAAACTTTTTCAAGATAACGTCAAGACCAACCAATTATAATTTGGTTATTTAATATAGTTACTGTGATTGTTTAATTTATTTTTATAATATAAATTTAACAAAAATGATGTAGTGTACATATATATATATATATATATATAATCTTTCTTATTCAAATCATTAAGTGTCATATATATATATCTATAAAAATCATATTAGTTAATTTCGTAGTTTTTATTTAAGAAAATCATAAAGAGCATGAATAATAGTTTATATTTATTTAATAAAAATATATTATATATTAATATGGGCTAAATTTTTTTTCTAGAAACTTTGAGAAGCATTCTAATGATGACACGTGTAATAAAGTGTTTAACAAAATGAGATAAAGTTAAAAAAAAACAAAATTGAGATGAAGTTGTAATTGTAATTAAAATTGAAACTAAACTTGTGAATGTATACTTATTTAAAGACTCATTAACCAAATTACAGTGCTGAAATATATTAACAATCGTTTTGCAAATATTTCATCGTCTCCTCATGATAACGTCAAGATCCACCAAATTTTCAAGGACGTGGGCTAGCCCTTATAAATTTTTGAAAAATTTAAAAATCGTATTCATTGATAGTATACTTCTTTTAAGATCCATTAACAAAATGATAGTGTTGAAACTTCTTAACAATCGTTTTAAAAATGTTTCGTCGTCTCCTGAGGATAACGTCAAAATTTACCAAATTCTTCGAGGTCGTGGGCTAAATTTTATGAATTTTTGGAAAATTTCGAAACATACATTCCTTGCTAGTAGACTTATTTAAAGACCCATTAACCAATTTATAGTCTTGAAACTAATTAACAATCATTTTGAAAATGTTTCATCGTCTTTTAAGGATAACGTAAAAATCTACCAAAATTTTTGGGGTCGTGGACTAACCTCTATGAATTATTGAAAATTTCAAAACATATATTCCTTTCTAGTATATTTATTTAAAGACTCATTAACCAAATTATAGTGCTGCAACTGGTTACCAATCGTTTTGCAAATGTTTTTTCGTCTCCTGAGGATAACGTCAAAATCCACATAATATTTTGAGGTTGTAGGCTAACAACCCCTATGAATTTATGAAAATTTCAAAACTCATATTCTTTGCTAATATAATTATTTAAATACCTATTAACAAAATTATAGTGTTGAAACTGTTTAACAATCGTTCTGAAAACTTTTCAGTATCTTCTGAAGATAACCTCAAGATCAACCAATTATAATTTGGTTATTTAATATAGTTAGTGTGATTGTTTAATTTATTTTTATAATATTACATTTAACAAAAAGAATATAATGTACATATATATCTATCAAATCTTTGTCATATATATATATGTCATATATATATATATATAAAAAATCATATTAGGTAATTTAGTAGTTTTTATTTAAGGAAATATAAAGAGCATAAATAATAGTTTATACTT